TTGAGAGACCGGAAGACGTAGCAGCCATATGTAGCCCCACTCACGAGGACCCTGACAACCTGCCCATACCAGATTTATTAGAAAGGAACCCCCATCCCGATTTAGTAGCCCAAGTACAGACAGGTGACAGACTTAACCCTGCAGAGAGGGAGCAACTAAGTAGACTACTACAGGAAAAATGCTCCACCTTCTCCCAAGACCCAGGGTACACCAGCCTAACTACCCACCAGGTAGATACCCCAGGCCAGCAGCCCCTAAGGTAAGCCCCATACAGGATCCCCGAAGTGGTTTGGGCTGAGTTGAAGAAGGATATCGATGAGATGCTCCCAATAGGGGTCATTGAGTCCTCCGATAGTCCCTGGGCCTCCCCAGTAGTTCTGGTACCTAAGAAAGATGGTACCACCAGGTTCTGTATGGACTATTGGAAACTCAATGACAAGACGGTGACCGACACCTACACGATGCCCAGAGTAGATGAGCTACTCGATCGTATTGCTAGGGGAAATTACTTAACCACCATTTACCTCTGTAAAGGTTATTGGCAAATTCCCCTGGCCAGGGAGGCTATCCCCAAGTCGGCATTTGTCACCCCGTTCGGCGTGTACCACTTTAAGGTCATGCCGTTTGGGATGAAGAAGGCACCAGCTACATTCCAGCGCTTGGTAGATAGACTCCTTGATGGCTTCCAGGATTTTGCCTGCGCATACCTGGATAACATAGCGATCCACAGTGAGTCCTGGGAGGACCACTTAGCTCATGTAGGAATGGTCCTGGATCAGATTCGGGCCGCTGGCCTGGCTCTGAAGCCAGAGAAATGCCATTTTGGAATGGCCGAGGTTCAGTACCTCGGTCATCGGGTGGGGTGTGGAAAGCAACAGGCAGAGCCAGCCAAGATAGAGGCAGTTGCAAATTGGCAAACACGTCGCACCCAAGTCCTAGCCTTTCTGGGCACTGCCGGGTACTTTAGGTGATTCGTACCAGTCTACAGTACTATTGCCAAACCTCTGACTTACCTGACCAAGAAAAACCTTTCCTGACAGGTCCTATGACAGGTCCACTGCAAAGCAGCCTTTCAGGCTCTCAAAAATGCACTGATTAATGCATTTGTCTTGGCTGCCCCAGCCCCTAAAAAACGCTTTATCATTCACACAGATGCTTCCATGAAGTCTTCAGCCAAGTAGGAGAAGACAGAGGGGAACATCCTGTTGCCTACATCAGCAGGAAGCTCCTGCCACGAGAGGTCAGCTATGCAGTCGTGGAGAAGGAGTGCCTCGCCCTGGTGTGGGCATTAAAGAAACTGACTCACTACCTCTATGGACAAGAGTTCACTCTGGTGACAGACCATAACCCATTGGTGTGGCTAAACCAGGTCTCAGGAGATAATGGCAGGCTATTGCGCTGGGGCCTGTCGCTACAACCATTCAATTTCACCATCGCTTACAGACCCGGGAAGCAGAATGGCAATGCCGATGGGTTATCCAGACAGACAGATCTCAGCCCGGAATAACCCCAGTTTTGGACAGCCTTAATTTTCCCCACAAGGAGGGAACCATGTTACAGAAGTCCCCTCTGTCTGCTCTAACCCAGTTACTTTTGCTTATATGTTGCTACTTTGTTTTATATGAATAACTTTTGCGGGCCTTTTATGGGTACGAATGGCCAACCACCCAGCCCTTGGCGTATGCCGCCAATTAACCCTGTTCACCTGTATAACTATCGAATAAACCAACGAATGGATGACCACCCTACCTATGGAGTGTGCTTTCAATCAACCATTAACAGGTTCATTTAACCAATCATTTGTAACAGGAGTAGTCCTAGAAGATTGGAAGTTAGCGAATGTTGTACCCATTCACAAGAAAGGTAGTAGGGAGAAGTCGGGCAACTATAGGCCAGTCAGCCTTACTTCAGTAGTGGGGAAAGTAATGGAAATCATTACTTTCCCCACATTGTTGAACATCCAAAATCACATGGATTTCGAAATCAGAGACAACATGGGTTGAGGGAGATCATGCCAAACTAATCTTATTGATTTTTTTTGATTGGGTTACTAAAATAATAGATCAGGGTGGTGCAGTAGACAAAAGGCTTTTGACACTGCTACACATAAAAGGCTTACCAATAGTTGAGTGAACCCGAACTGTAAAGTTCGGGTTCGTACTGAACATTAGGTTTTTTTTGACCCCGGACCCGAACACGGACATATCACTGTATGTTCGGGTTAGAGTTCGGTGTTCGGTGTTCGGCGATTTAATGTCGCATTTTGAAAGGCTGCAGGACAGCCAATCAACAAGCGTTTGACTCATGTGCCCTAAGAAGCCATCACAGCCATGCCTACTAATGGCTAGTGCAGCATGTGACCCAGCCTCTATATATACGCTGGAGTCACGTAGCGCCGTACGCACATGCTGTCTTATTAGTGTAGGGAGAGGATGCTGCCACTGATAGGGACAGCTTAGGAAAGAATTCTGCAAACTAGTACATTGGTGGGGTGAACTTCATATCTGAGAGTCAAATAGAAGCTTCAAATACTGCGGTTACATCGGAGTTTTAAAAAGTAAAAAAAAAATGGGGTGCGAAATAGTACATTAGTGGGGTAGTACATTAGTGGGGTGTACTTTATATCTGAGAGTCAAATAGAATGGTCAAATACTGCTGTCACATTGGAGTTTTAAAACGTAAAACTTTTTGGGTGCTAAAAAGTACATTAGTGGGGTGCACTTCAAATCAAAGTGTCTAATACTGTGCTTACTGCACATTTGTAAACATTCTAATTGTTTTGCTGCTAATCTGCTAAATAGTACAGTTTGGGGCCTGTTCTTCATATCTGAGAGTCAAATCGAAGCGTCAAATAGTGCGCCTACTGCGCACTTGTAAACATTCTAATTAATTTGCTGCTAATCTGCTAAATAGTACATTTTGGGGCCTGTTCTTCATATCTAGAGTCAAATTGAAGTGTCTAGTAGTGCGCTTACTGCACACTTGTAAACATTCTAATTGTTTTGTTGCTAATCTGCTAAATAGTACATTTTGGGGCCTGCGGTGCACTTCATTTCTGAGAGTCAAATAGAAGCGTCTAATAGTGCGCTTAGTGCGCAGTGGTAAACATTCTAATTGTTTTGCTGCTAAACTGCTGCTTACATTGGAGTTTTAAAACGTCATTTATTTATTTTTTGGCGCTAAATAGTATATTTGGGGTGTTCACTTCATATCTGAGAGTCAAATCGAAGCGTAACTTTGATTCGAATTTACTACATCGGTCACTTGTAATATTGTTTTACACCTACAACACTTGTTACACAGATCTAAGTGATAAAAAACAGATTGATATTTTCTACATTAGAAACTACCAGATAACGAGCTGCTATATGTAAACCAGTGATCAATAGCTAAGAGTTACTTCAACAATATTGTAATTCTGGGGCAATACCCTCACAAGTCAAACTGAGAGGTCAGTTATAGGGAAAACTGTTGCCTGGATACAATTCTAAAACAATTTCCATATGTCCTTTGCAGACTTTACATGCAAACACAGGTGCCAACTGATGTGGCTTTCTGCAGTGTGCATACCGGCAAGGAGGGCAGGGTTGAGGAGTGGGTGGAAGATGATGTGTGCTAATATCCTAAATAGTACATTTTGTGGCCTGCTCCTCATATGTGAGAGTCAAATCAAAGCGTCTAATAGTGTGCTTTCTGCGCACTTGTAAACATTCTAATTGTTTTGGAGCTAAACTGCTAAATAGTACATTTTGGGCGTGCACTTCATATCTGAGAGTCAAATATAAGCGTCTAATACTGCAATTACAGCGCAATTGTAAACATTCTAATTGTTTTGGTGCTAAACTGCTAAATAGTACATTTTGGGGCATGCACTTCATATCTGAGAGTCAAATAGAAGCATCTAATACTGTGGTTACAGAGCAATTGTAAACATTCTAATTGTTTTGGTGCTAAACTGCTAAATAGTACATTTTGGGGCCTGCTCTTTATATCTACAAGTCATGCTACAACAAAATTAAACAAGTTTTAAAATATGTATTGGCCAACCAGTGGCTGTAAACAACAAAGTTTTACTGGTTACATTCATGATTACACACTCTAGTGAACAGAACCTTCATGTAGTATGTTCTTTTTTTTTTTTAAATTGCTGTTCAGATGTCATATTGTGAATTACCAATTTTTGTGTAGCCTGATTTTTTTTTTTAAAAAAGTGAAAAATAAGTGTTATTGTGATCGCTTCATATACAGAAGCATTAATATACATTTCTATATTGTGTAAAGACACAACTACAAAGTTAAAAACCAAACACCAAAACAACGTGCCAGACAATCTACCTGTACCAGACAATCTAGTGTGATACAATAAGTCTACATAGGGAAAACTGTTGCCTGGAGTAAATTCTAAAACAATTAACATATGTCCTTTGCAGACTTTACATGCTGGAAAAACACAGGTGCCAACTGCTGTGGCTGTCTGCAGTGTGCATGCTGGCAAGGAGGGCAGGGTTGAGGAGGGGGTGGAAGATGATGTGGAGGATGATGAGGTCCTAGACCCCACATGGAATCAAGGTCATACGAGTGACGTGTGCAGTTTGGAGGAAGAGGCGCTGGTAGCACAGAGGCACCAGCACAGCATAAGAGAGAGCAGGGTGCAAAAGCGGAGCGGCCGTCCCCTAGCGCTCGTCGGCATGTATTAGTTTGAGAATGACCAGTTATCCAAGTAATACATGCAGTGATCAAAGGATCCATAATAGACTTGAGCAAACCCGAACTGCAAAGTTTGGGTTTGTACCAGATTTAACGATCCATTCGTAGTTTCACAGTGAGGTGGGCAGTCCAGTGACCAGGACCCAGACACTGTCAGGATGTAACATTCACTGTAGCGGCTGTGCGCACTTTTGGCATTGTCACCCTGCTGCTGCTCACCTGTCTGCGCTGCAGCGTAACTTCGGCCTTCCCGCTTACCGCCTCATAAGACTTTGCAAGCAGCAGCAGGCGATAGTGGAGTTTCAGCTGCAGCACGCACGGGTCAGTGGCTCTGCACCAGACCTCCCTCCAATTGATCAGAGTTAAAGGATTTCAAGGGGACTCATTACAATTACAGGGCCTCTAAAGAGTCCTGTATTGTTCTTTGTAGTCATTACCTTCCTGCGTCGGGAGTGCGTCATTTGTGCACCTGCTGCCTTCCTTGCATGTGGTAGTGGTTTCTCAGGGTCCCTGTACAGAATGGAACACTGATTCCACCCGTGGTCACCATGGTAGGCGCAGCAACTGGCATCGAAAGTTGATATGGATGACAACTGCATGCAAAGTCGCCGCCACAGGGATGTGCAATTTGCCCGAGGTTCTCTAGAATCAACAAAGTTCCTGCGCAACTATAATGTCAACAGCTACTCTGTGGAACAGAGTTGTCTTTTTTTAAATGTCCCAGTATTTTATTGTCTTTTTTTATATGACCCAATATTTTGGGCGCTACCCCCATTAATATATATATATATATATATATATATATAAACAGTGTTGGCTACCTCATCCTCCTCCTCCACCGCCACGGTCACCGCCTCCTCAACCTATGGGTCACTTAGTATAAACTAGAAACATATTAGCAGAGGCTCGTGAAGGCCTTTTCTCCACGAATCAGGACTGCAAGAAATGCACCGCAGGCCGCAAATGTTTATTTTGTTGTATGTCCCAATATTTTGTGGGCTACCACAATTAAAAAAAAAAACTTAAAAACATAAATAACAGTGTTGGCTACCTCATCCTCCTCCTCCACCGCCACGGTCACCGCCTCCTCAACCTATGGGTCACTTAGTATAAACTAGGTACACATTAGCAGAGGCTTGTGAAGGCCTTTTCTCCATGCATCAGGAGTTGAGCTCAGTTTGAACAATGAAAGAGAATACCTTGCACTCCAACCCTCTCTCAAATGGATAATTCTGTTTTTCCTCCTGACAGCCATGCTTTAGATTTTGATTTATGTTTTTCTAAAGCTAAAATCAAAGATTCCATCTAGTGCTATTTTATGGCTCAGCTGTATTTTAAATTTTTATGTTATTTTGAGTGATTTCCCTATCCACATTTGTTTGCAGGGCACTTGTCCTACTTTACCGGCCCACCGGCCCACCTGAAGAGACCTGCGGCTGGGGAGGGAGGGAGAGGACCCGGCGGAGCTCTCTCTTGCAGCTCCGCCGGGTTCCTCTCGCGAGATCCGGCGCGTTGCCATGGCAACGCGCCGGATCTCGCGAGAGTGAATTCTAGCCTACAGGCTAGAGTTCACTAACCACTGGACCACCAGGGATGATGAGTGCCGCCTCCCTCCCAGATACCACCGTGCCGGACCCCTCCCAGGCTAAAGGTAAAGGGAGGGGGGGCAGATATAATGCATTTTTGTTGTTGTTTTTTTTACCCTCCCAACACACAATCACTTTTAACATTCACACTCAGCATTCTCACTCACAGCAATCTCACTCACAGCACTCTCACACACAGCACTCTCACTCACAGCACTCTCACTCACAGCACTCTCACACACAGCACACACAGCACTCTCACACACATCACACACAGCACTCTCACACACAGCGCGCTCACACACAGCGCGCTCACACACAGCACTCTCACACACAGCGCGCACACAGCACTCTCACACACAGCACTCTCACTCACAGCACTCTCACACACAGCACTCTCACACACAGCACTCTCACACACAGCACAGCACTCTCACACACAGCACTCTCACACACAAATCACACACACTGCACCCTTTAACACAGCACCCACATACAGCACCCTTAAACACATCATACACAGCATCTTCACACACAGCACCCCTCAAACACAACATCCATCACACACACATACTGCACCCTTCACATACACACTACACCCCTCACAGACACCCACTGCACCCCTCACACATACACGCAGAACCCCAACACACTGCACTAAACACACACACACACACATACTTCCAAACATATATATATTTATATATATATATATACACACACACACCACAGCACCGTTCACACACACTGAACCCCTCACACACATACTGCACCCCTAAACATATTACATTCCAGACACACACTATATCCCTTACCCAACTATGGATCATATACACACACTAAATCCCTATATACACTCTGATTCCGTTATATACACACACTCACTAGATCTCATACACATTCTGGGTCCTTCAAACACACACTAGACTCCTGTATACACACACACTGCACCACCTACACACACTACACTCCTAACATACACACTTTGGATCCCTTATACACACACACTAGATTCCTTGTAAACAAACACATGCTACACCCCTAAACGCACACTCTCTACAACCCCTACAAACACTACATCACCTATATACACACACACACTATAGCCTGTGTGCATACATTTACTACATCCCCTATACACACATTCTCTTCAGCTCCTAGCCACATTTGCATTACATTACACCACAAACACAACACGACTAAAACCAACCTTATTACACAATACCAAACCACGACCAGCTCACTCTGCACACACACAATCCCAAAGCAGGCTCCAAACACATGCACAATATTCTTTCCTTGCCCTTTTGTCTCCTGGTATCCATTTATAGAGACACCAGAGACAAGTTTCAAGGAAACACAGTGCAAGCATGTTATTAAATTTGCTTGCACTGTGCAGAACAAATACAGGGTATTTTTTCTTCTCATGCCAGAGCTCTTTAGCAGAGCTCTGCCCTGGAAGAGCATTGACCCAACGCTCACTTTGAGAGGGGGCGTGTTTGTCTGTGGTGATGACGAAACACACCCTCTCTGCCCTGCCCCCTTCTTAGTGGGCCGCTGTGCTAAAAAAATGCCCGGGCTGAATTTATCTCCCAGTCCGGCCCTGCCTTAGAGAGAGGTCAGAGAAGGGCTACTAAACTGGTTCATGGATTGCAGGATAAAACTTACAAGGAAAGGTTAAAGGAACTTAACATGTATAGCTTAGAGGAAAGGCAAAACCGGGGGGTTATGATAGAAACATTTAAATACATAAAGGGAATCAACACAGTAAAGGAGGAGACTATATTTAAAAGAAGAAAACTACCACAACAAGAGGACATAGTCTTAAATTAGAGGGGCAAAGGTTTAAAAATAATATCTGGAAGTATTACTTTACTGAGTGGATGCATGGAATAGCCTTCCAGCTGAAGTGGTAGAGGTTAACACAGTGAGGGAGTTTAAGCATGCATGGGATAGGCATAAGGCTATTCTAACTATAAGATAAGGCCAGGGACTAATGAAAGTATTTAGAAAATTGGGCATACTAGATGGGCTGAATGGTTCTTATCTGCTGTCACATTCTATGTTTCTATATTTCTATATATAGAAAAAGTGCTCTGTGCTGTAAGGGACTTATATAATGACATAGTAAGACTAAAAAAGACTATTAAATAGCATTTACTACACATGTGTCAGTTCCTTCAAACTGCACACAGAAACATGCAAGAAAAAATAAAGTGTATTGAGTGGTATCTACACACTCACGTAAACCCTAAGTTGTAAAATGTAATACACTATATTGTCTTAACTAAGTTGTAAATGTAATACACTTCATTTTCTTACCTAAGTTGTAAAATGTAATACACTATATTATATATATTACATGCCTCATTTTTTAGCATCACTATATCCACCTTATTATGAGGGCAAGTGTTTTTATATAGAGCACTCCACTGGGTTTACGTGAGTGGGTAGATACTACTCAGTACACTTTATTTTTTCTAGAAATATTATATGCCTGTGCGATAGCTCTTCATTTCAAGAGACAAGTTCATGCTCTTTCATTGCTTTTCCAAAATTCAAGTAAATATAAAAAAGCAAAAAAAGTTAGAAGATCATAGATACTCACTCTCTGCACACCCTATCAATAATAATGGCATTATATCAATGGTTACACAAGTGCCTGGCATTATGCATTCTTTAATAATAAATTCAGTTGATCAATAAAGTTCCTGCACAAATTACCTCTAATAATCCAGTAGACACCTAATTTAATTTCTGTGTCCTTCAGGGTTATTGATTAGGTGGTGCCCAGCACCGGATCACTAAAAATAACTAATATATAATAAAACAAAATTGGATCTCCATGCCAAATTTTTTTCTTGCACTGCTTTTTTTGTATATCCATGTTGCTTTAAAATATGTATAGAAATTAAAATGTTCCCTTTCATGCTAAAATAAGATTACTATAAAATAAAAAATAATTGCAGTTATCATAAAACTCCAGCAAAGGTAAATCATATATTTGTGTCCCACTCATTGAAACAGGCATTTTAAACTTAAAATTATTATTATTATTTTTAATAATTATGTAATTGGTTTATAACTTTTGAAAAGCAGAAGTAAATTTCCCCAAAGCCTTAGCAAAACAATTAGTTCCCAGTTACACGGTTGAATGGACTTCCCCATAATTATGTCATTCCTAGACTAGGTTATTTAGCTTTTACACATACTTTTTTCATATTAAAAGCAGTAATCCTATTACAACACATACTTATGCTATGAATTGATTAGAGAACGGATAGCTGCTGAATGCCATAAAAGAATGTATTCCCTATCCAGTAGATTAGTTAAGATGTCCAATCAATGTATGAGTGGAAACTCAACGACATAAAAACAATGGAGAATCTGGTCTTCTCATGGGAGTGGAGGAAGCCAAAGCCTGGTTTGTTTGTCCTTGGAATGAATTCTTGGAATGAGTTCTCTGAATAAGTTCTCGATTTCAATAACGTGAGACTGAATTCATGAACAATGATTCAATAATGTACAAATTGTGCAATACCAAGCTTATGTCTTATTTAACAATTTTTTAAATTGTATACATATTGCCTGGGGTTGGAGTTGGAATTGTTTTTATATATAGTTCCTCAGAAAAGTTTAATAAGGGAGATTGGGACATCTAACTTTTCAAATTTTCAATAAATGGTATCTATTCAGCAGCCTTATTTCAAATGGATTAATTTTTATTATTGTTTTGTTTAGGTCAAAGACTAGATTGACTTTGTTATACCTGTATTGGCTAACTAACTATATAAACTCATTATATGTCCCTATTAGAACATTCTAGCCCATTAGTTTGCTACCCTTTATAATTGAAGATAGCTCAATTTAAACTAAGAGCTAGAAAGTGCTTGCTCTGCGAGTATTCCCTATTTGATTGATTGTATTTAGTGCAACTATCTTTAATGATTGAAACATTGTTAGATATGAATATGACTGTATCCACAGAAAATACTTCAGGATATTCAGTTCCATATAATCTTGAAATGTAAAATATTCAGTTAAAAATATGCCAAGCACAACTCGGCTAATGTGTTAAGAATGTAAATGTAATTTCTACTTTTAACTTTTTAAATTATTGGTGGATAGTGATGTCCCGAACGGTTCGCCGAATGGTTCGCGAACGGTTCGCCACGAATGGTTCGCCACGGACTGATCATTGAGTAAACTTTGACCCTGTACCTCACAGTCAGCAGACACA